CCCAAATCTCCTTCAATCAGTTTGTCACTGCAGCTGAGGACTTTGGTGGTAAAGTGCTTGATGGAATGGATCAACTGGCTGAGATCAACACTAAGCACCATGAACATATCACCTTTGTTCATAATCATCTTGAGGCTGGACTTTAGCATATCTCAGAGAAGGTTGAAGCACTGACTCAGACACTGGTCACCTTCATGAAATCATCATCTGCAAAACTTGATGCTGTTGCCAGAGAAGTCGATGGTGTCCACTCTGTTCTCTACTCCCAATCTCAGACTCTCAACAAGCAGAATAAACAACTCAAGGATATAACAGAATCCCTTGACATTGTACAATGGTATGAAGACCAATCTGCTGAGAAGTTTATGCAGCTACAACTCTTAAACAATGATCACAAAGATCAAGTGGCCAACCTGATCAAGAAGGATCAAGAAAGATATCAGAAGCTGATACTACTTGAAGCTAGCTCTCAGGACATCAAGTCTGCTCTTGATCGACAACAGAACTTGATAGAAGGACTGACTTCTGTCATGCAAACCTTACCAGAAGCGCTTGAGTAGATTGCCATCTCCCAGGCAACAGAGTTCCAGAAGATTGCTATGATGATCTCTTACCTGGATGATGCCAAAAAGGGGGAAAAGGAAAAGAACCCCCAACAGAAGAAATTGCCCCCTAGGCCAACTGCTGGACCCTCATCTGATATTGATCCAACTCCTTACTTCCAGGCCTCCCAACAGAAGAAGAGAGAAGCTGGTACTTCAAGACCTTCTTCTCCTCGCAGAGGTTCTACCAAGAAGAAGAAACCCTTGAGCTTAACTGAGTGGAGACTTGGAGGCTCTCAAAAGATTGACAGAGCACAGTTTGAAGAAATACAACAGAAGATGACCCCTACTCAAAGACAGAATCTATATCTTGACAGAGACGGTCATATAAGGGTCAGACATGGTGGTTCCTTGGAAGAGGCTGAATATTGGTTTCACAAGAGAGTACTCCCAGGCAAGGATGTACATGAGGGAGTACTTCACTATCTGAATTGCAAGCTCTCTCCCATTTGGGCCTCCTGTCAAGCACCAGGAAATTTGGCTGGCATAAGAGAAGAAATGAATGCTGAACTTAAGAATCTGAAAGAACAAGATCGCAGAACCAGAGCTGAAGCTGAAAGGGAAAATCTGTAATTCCTTTTAAACTTCTCTTAAAAACTCTTGATCTAATAAAAGCTTATCTCTGCTCCTTCTAAAGTCTCTTTGCCTCTCTACTCTTTGTTGCTTACTGTTTTATTCTGTACTTGTTTCTTTTTGAACTGCTATCTGAATGTACCGCACTCTTACTATTTTCCTATGCCAAGTTGCCCACCAAGATTTTATTGAAAAGTTTTAAACTTTAAATTTTTATGGTGAAGGCACTTCTCTGGAAATAGTTGAAGGGTTTTGGCATCATCAAAAAGGGGGAAATTGTAAGGAATAATTGTATTTAGATTTTGATGATGCTATATTAATTAGGACTTTAGAGTACCCCCTTTAGAAATTATGTATTAGAATTTTCCCTTGTAAAGTTCTTAGCATAATCGACTACCAGAAGGCCTCTCTACCAGAAGACCTCCGGACAGAAGATTTTGGTTCTCTGTCAAGGAACAGAAAACCTCAGGGTCTCTATTACCCTTTAGCTTGACAGAAACCCTCTTGGTTCTCTGTAAGCTACTATCAACAGAAGTGCTCAAGATCTTCTCTGATCAGTTCTCTGCCAAAGACACCAGAAGGTCTGACACTTGGAAGAAATCCACAAAGCCGGGAAGTCAACTAAAAGATTCCTTCAACGGCTAGGAGTATGAAACGGAAAAGCTACAGTGCTCGCATTAAATGCTCATTTAATGCTCCCCATGCTCCGTGGAGTAATTGCAGATGATTGGCCGCAATGTCAGGATTGCTTTATCCCAAAATAGTAACCCGCCAACTTTGCCGGGTCCTACTGGTCAAGTCAACTGCTCGCACATTAAATGCAGTTGTCCTCCTACTCCTCCAACGGGAAGACAACCTCAGTATAAAAGATACACTACGAAGAACAACCGGATAACTTTGCAACTTTTGCTACACATTGCTACAACTCTTCATACAAGATATTCAAACTCTGAAAAGCAAAAAGCCTCCTTGAGATTCAAACTCATTATCTTCTACAAGAGAAGGCAGAAGTTGGAAAAATACTTTTTCCAACTCAAGCAAAGTTCCAAGTGTTTTTCAACTCTTCAAGCTCATCACATACAAATCTTTTGTAACGAAGCTAGTTGGAGGAACCCCTGTTTCAACAGAAACTCTTCTTGCTACAAGAAGGACGTCCAAGTAACTGGAGTAGTGAAGTGGTGATACTTCCAGGAAGCTCAGTGAAAGGACCAGTCTTAAAGGAAACCAGACAGTGCATCCCAGGAGACATCTAGACTTGAAGAAGACGTGGAGAGCTTCTTAAGTGCTAGGACTAAGGCTTTGTAAACGGAAGTTTTTACAGCTTAGTGGAACAGTGGACTAGAGGAACAAGTTGTTCCTTGAACCACTATAAAAATCCCTGGTGTCGTTTACTTACTGCTTTAATACTTGCACTTAGATAGAACTGTCTAACTCCTTGGACTTGGTATCTGTGTTCAGCAGAACTTGTTCTACGAGTTAACAGAAGGCCTACTGCCTTTGTTTCTCTGAGGCTAACAGAACTCCCTACCAGAACCCCATCCGCTGCCAGTCTGTTCTTTCAACAGAACAGGCTATTCTGTAAATCTGATACTTAGTTTAAAAAGCTAAAAACCAATACAGTCTATTCACCCCCCCCCCCCTCTAGACTGTATCCAGTATAACCGGGACCAACAAGTATTTTCTTTTATTTCTGCAGGATCCTAAGGGTAACGGAAAAAAAAAGGTTGAGGTTGATAAAGAAATATGGAGTTGAAGACCCTCTTTACTGTTATATTTTTGGGGATATACTTTATGTGTTTCAAAAAACACTCGTGGATGTGTGTGTTGATATTCTTGTCATTTTAAGGACTTCTTGGACCGGATTTGATTTACTCGAGACGAGTAAAGGTTTAAGTGTGGGGGTGTTTGATGCACACTAATTAGTAGTGCATAATTATATGTTTTTATGTTTGATTTATGTTGATTGTTTGACGTTTTATTTAGTTTGTAAACATTTATGTAATTTCAGTTGTAATTGTATTTTATTCTTTATTTATAAGTTGTAAAGTTTAGTTAGGATTTGTGGTGTTGGAAAGGAAGACTTTGAAGAGAAGAAAACAAGAAATTTGACTGCCCAGGAGTGAAACCCGACCGGGTAGAAACCTCCACCCGGTCGGGTAGGATTTAACAGACGAAATTGCCAAGAAAGTCACTGGACCCGGTCGGGTCTCCTACTTGACCCGGTCGGGTCAGATGTGACCCGGGACAAAACGACGTGCGAAGATCACCAGAACGTGGCGGATTATCTGATTTTGACCGGACCCGGTCGGGTAAGTACTTGACCCGGTCGGGTACCCGGCCAAAGGTGTTGAAAAACACCTATAAATAGCACACTTTTTCTTCACAAAAAATAATCTCTTCTTCCATACTCTTTAGCTCAGTTTAGAATAGCATTTCTTTATATTTTTTCTAGCTATGTTTAGTCTCCAAATGAGGAGCTAAACTTCCATTCTTGGTGTTGCTCTTGAAGCTTGTTGATTATTAAAGTTGTGAGTTATTTTCTTAACTTCTTTCCTTGAATATTAATTAATAGTTCTTTCCTTAATACCATCTCTATATTAATGTTGGGGAGGGTTGCTAAGATGACAATTAGTTAACATCTCGACATTAGTTAGAATGATATTTTCTTCCTCTATATTAATGTTGGAGAGTGTTGCTAAGATGACAATTAGTTAACATCTTGATATTAATTATAGTAGGATTCATCTTCTTTAATAATATTCTTCCTTGAATATTAATTAATTCCTACTCTTATTTCATATTAATATTTTGAACATTACTTAAAGGATCAACTAGTTTTGTTTCATATATTATTTATTACTAGAAACGATCAACGAACCGATGGTTAATCGTTGATGGTTTCACAAGTGAGTAACTTCAGTTTATTAATGCACGGTCGTGGTTAATAAACTTAAGAGGGATTAATTTTGTTGGTTAAACCGAAACCGCTTGTGTTGAGGTTATCAATATCAATTGATTTCATCAAGGAGTTAGAAAGATTAAATGCTACTGTTAAATCGGTATAAGACGTTGTTCTATATTTGATTAATAGTAAGAGTTATTAATGAACGGTCGTTGTTAATAACTAACCTCGATGAAGTGGATATACTCCCCGATTGAGTATTCGAGAGGGAATAAGTTATAGATATAACAATGATCGACTAAAATATATCAACAAGTGAAAAGTAGCAATGTCAAGTCATTTTTATCTTTGAATTAAACACATATAGGTTGTTCATCTTAATTCTTAATTTAATTAAATCATTCATCACCAAAACCCCCCTTTTATTTACTAAGTAACATAAAAAGAGAATTATTCCTTTCCCTGTAGATACGAACCTTACTACACTATACTACGTATAAGTGTTAATATTGAAAATTATTTTGACGCACCGTGACAAAGTGCTCGTCAATTATTATTATTATTATTATTATTATTATTATTATTATTATTATTATTATTATTATTATTATAATTACGTAGTATTATTTATAAGGTGAAAAAAGAAAATTGTAATAGGAAAGTAGGAAACGTAATATTGGAGAGGTCGAGAAAGTCCTGGGGATGTGTGTGCATGTAATGCGATCACATGGAGCGTTAATTAGACCTTACCGCCATTTTACGTATAGTATTTGATATTTACTACAGTACTACGTATGCGTATACGTATAATAATAATGAATGGCGGTGTCAGCTACGATCGAAGAGTGGCAGTATGTATACGTACATATTTGGCTGAGGGTATATATGTATGTATGTATCGTGATATATATCTGATACACTACGTACCACCCAACCAGCACTCCAATTATTTAATTAAATAAATGCCTTTGTCGTCGCCAACTCCCTCCTCCGGGGTTCGCCGTGAGGCTGCCGCCGTGACAGAGAACTGGAGTGGCGTGCCGCCTTTGGCCGCCAAGAACTCCGCTCTGGCATCCTCCATTACCAACGAAGGTACGTTCTTTCTTTATATGTGTGCATTCTATACGTATTTTTTGTACTTCGTATGTTAGTATGAAAATAGAATTGTAAACAAATCAAATCATTTATGCTCGATTCGTGATTCGAATCCGTATAACGGTCGGCATAAGATGATTTGAATTCGAAGAATTCAAATAAAAATAATAATTTGATTCGAATTGTTATCGAATACAAATAAGAATATGAGTGTATTCGATTATTCGAATATTCATCAAATATATTCGATTAATAATAGTGATAATATTATAATAATATTAATAATAATAGTAATAATATTATAATAACTTTTAAAAGATAGCTATACACTCAAAGTGTATCTCATATATACATTTATGTATACAAATTTCAAGCACATTTGTAATAAATCAGAAGTAACATAAGGAGTAACGATTGCAAGACAAGCAAATAATTTTAATTCGATTTGTGATTTTGATTCAAAAAATATGATTTAAATTTGAAAATATAGAATATAAATACGAATAAAATCAGATTTTTTGTTCAAATGTTTTTCAAACACGAATACAAATACTTATGCATTCGATTCAAAGAATAAGGTTAGAGTCGTTTGACTATGACACATACAATTATCAACTTATTTCACAATTACAAGTATAATTTCTAATATCTGTGTCTTAGTGTTTATTTCAAAAAGTTTGAAATAGATTTATATTTATTAATCATAAATTTGATTCACTTTAGTATATTGTGCACAACCTAAAAATGCATCGATCAATTAAATTTAAAAAAAAACGTACTTTTACGAATTAAATTTTAAAAACACATATTAAGTCATAGCTAGCATGCATTTATAACATAAAAAATATAAGAAAATTACTTTACAATGATATTTGGCTAATATTTATTTTATACTCAAATCGATTTGATATTCGTATATGATTCGTTAATTATTCGCATTGTTAAACAAATACAAATACGAATCGAAATTAATATTCGTTTCATATTCGAATTCGGATTCATATTCAGTTCATTTACAACCCTATATGAAAATAGTCAGGACACTAAAGACATTTTTCAGTTTTTCGAAAAATTGAAAACCTAGAAAAAAGAAAACAGCAAATGTGTTTACCAAAGAAAATTGGTAGAAAACTGGAAAAAGGAAAACAAATTTCTTTTTTACCAAATCATTTTCCAAAACCTAAAAAATGAGATATGTGTCTGTTTTCCTTAATGAATCGGAGATCTGACTTTTACTAGAATTCCAAATTCGGAAAACGTAAATGTCGAGGGTTGATGCAATGAATTAGCACACATACGCCTAGTGGTGGACCCGGTCCCGCTCCAGTGTCAGTTCTCGTCCGGTCCGGTCAATGACTCGACGGTGTCAGTTCTTGTCCGGTCTGGTCAATGACTCGACGGTCCCTATCTAGCCCGGTGAATGACCTGGCGGTCCGGTCCAGTCAACGACCCGACGGTCATGTCCAGCCCGTTCAACGGCCGAGTAATCCCGGTCCGGTCCGGTCAATGACCCGATGGTCCCAGTCCGGTTCGGTGGGCAACCCATGGTCTATGTCCGGTCCATGACCCGGCAGCCCCTATCCTGTGTGGTCCACGACTCGACGGTCCCTCTCCGGTCCGGTGGATGACTCGGCAGTACCTTTCAGTCCGGTCGACTTTCGGGCAGTCCTGGTCTGATCCAGTCTGGTCAACGACTCGGTGGTCTCTGTCCGGCCCGGTCAAAGACTTGGAGATAGAAAAACAAGAAAATGAAAATAGAAAATTGGAGAATGGAAAACAGAAATCGAAAACTAGAAAATAACTCTGTTATTAAAGAGGCCTTAATAGTTTTCTAATCACCTGCCCGTTACATTTGTACCTCACCTCTTTATTACCCGGAGCATCTAAGGAGTATTTCTTTTAATTTTTAGTGAAAATTTGCTATATATCACTATATCACTTTTGATATATATTCAAATAATTGATATTATTAAAAGTTATCTTTAAAGTTCGTATTATTATTGGTTCATGGAAGATAGTTGGTACTACCTCCGTCCCATTTTATGTGTCTCACTCTGACTTGGCATAATTATTAAGAAAGTGGTTGAAAAAGTAAAAATTTTGGTTGAGATTTGAGTATTTAAAAGTGAAATGTTGTAGTCCACATATTTCTTTTCAAAAAGAAGAAATGACACTTATGTTAGGATCAACAAAAAAGAAAAGTAGGACAAGTAAAATAGGACGGAAGAAATATTATTTAAAGTTATTTTCCCGAAAAGATTTGTTTTGTGATATATGTCTAGTGCGATTAAGGGGGTGTTTGGATCTGATTCTCAAAACTGATTCTGCTCCTTCAGAGAGCAGAAGCAGAAGCTGGAGTGTTTGGGTGAAATTCCAGAAGCACTTTTGGTGCTCTAATTTACTCTCAGAATCAGTTTTTTTAGAAGCTGGGGGGTACCAGCTTCTGAAAACTGATTCTGCTTCTGCTTTAAAAAAGAAGCAGAATTAGAATCAGTTCCAAACACCCCTAAAGCTTAAAATTTATGTTGTGGGATTAAGAGGCCGTTTGACAATACCGTTTTTCGGCTTATCAGGCTTATCAGTAAACATTTTCACCAAACACGTAAGTTTTGCTTTCACGCGCTGAATTGTGTAATAAGCAGAAAAAGTAAGATTGAAGTTACTTTTCTGGTTGTATTGGCTGAAGTTACTGTAGATGATCATTTTAGCTATTTTTACATATAATTTTTTCTTTATTTTATTAATAAAATATCATTTAAATTTATTTTTTTCTTAAATCAGCAGAATCAACCAATGCAGCTACTTCAACCAGAATTTCATAAATTTCAGCAGAATCAACTAAATCAGCCGATTTCGGTGCCACCAAACAGGCTCTAAAGCTTAAAATTTCACTATATTTTTTACATGTAAATATTCATACATACACATGTATAACTCGCAATTATTTCTTGTGAGTGGGAAACTTTTGACAATTTCTTTAAAATTTTCCATCTATAATTGTCTAACTATAAACTGGCACTTGTGATAAAATCATTGTAATAAACATAATAAATGTCACTTGTTTTATACAGTGAGAGTGAAAGTAGAAAATTTCAAAGACAAATTAAAAAATGTTGAGTTGCTCTCATTGAAGAAGGAAAAAGCTGAACTATAGATCTCAAATTGAGGTGCTAAATGCACGACAGTAGTCAGAAAAATAGTAGAGCACGTAGCTTATCCCAGAGAAATGAGGCCAAATAGGAGCAAAAGTTTTCATATATACTTAAATAGGATCTTGACTTTTTTTACTCCTAAATAGGGCTAATTTGTTTCAGTGTTCCAAATTTACCCTCTCTTTTCTCCTCCGCCTCTCCTTTTTCCCTTTTCTTTATTTCTTCGTCGCTGGTTCGCGACTACAGACCTAAGATCGAGACTGAACTCTCTAAAATCTGTGACGACATCCTGAAGCTTCTGGAGTCCAAACTCATCCCGTCCGCCTCCCCCGGTGATTCCAAGGTCTTCTACCTCAAAATGAAGGGAGACTACCACCGCTACCTCGCTGAGTTCAAGACAAGCGCTGAGCGAAAGGAGGCCGCGGAAAGCACTCTCACGGCCTACAAATATGCCCAGGACATCGCGAATGCAGAACTTGCACCAAGACATCCTATCCGTCTCGGATTGGCTCTAAACTTCTCTGTGTTTTATTATGAGATTTTGAACTCCCCTGACCGTGCTTGTAGTCTTGGAAAACATGCCTTTGATGAAGCCATTAAAGTGTTGATATTGTTGATATTGATATTAAATTATTAATACATTATTGTTGATCAATGATTTTAATAAAGTGATTGTCATAGTGATTGACATTCTTATGACATTGTTATCGACATTTTTATGACATTGTTATTGACATTCTTATGACATTGTTATTGACATTGTTTTCTATTGACATTTTTATGACATTATTGTCATTGACATTCTTTTGACATTGTCATTGACATTCTTTTGACATTGTCATTGACATTCTTATGACATTGTCACTGACATTGTTTTGTATTGACATTCTTATGACTTTGTCATTGACATTCTTATGACATTGTCATTGACATTCTTATGACATGGTCACTAACATTGTTTTCTATTGACATTTTTTATGACTTTGTAATTGACATTCTTATGACATTGTACAAGTAATTCACATTTTCATCATTACAGTGTCATTCTACATTGTGTTTTAATAAATTGCTAAAAATGCCGCAATAAATGAAATATTACTTTTTCAAAATCAATAATGAAATACTTTCCAAAAATTAATCTAATTACATGAATTTACAAAATAAAGCAAAAAATAAACAAAGAAATAGCAACCCTGTAACTTGGTAGAAGTTGAAAAGTCAAACACCCCCAAATTAAAAAAAAACGTAGAACACTCATAGCAAGGCAAAGACCGCTAAGGCGCTAAGAGTCGGAAGTCCGAACTATATTCGGAAATTGAATATGGCCAGCAACATCTCCGGCTCAGAATCACGATGCTTAACCTATCAAACACCGCCCATCCAAATATCCAATATGTAAGAAATCTTGAAGCGCTGCGTTTTTTTTCCGCTGCATCAGTAAGGCCCTAGAAGGGTTCTCCGCAGTTTCAGTAATGGACGGCAGTTGGCAGTCGACATCTGCCGGCGGCAGATGGCGATTCCCAGCAGCGGTTGCGGCAGCTCGCAGCGGTAGTCGGTCTATGGAATTGATGGCTACTCATGGATGAATCGAGTAATGCAATTGTGAATGAATTAAAAGTAAAAACAATACAACTTCTTTAATTTCATACCACACGCGTACTATGCTCCGTATTAATGAAGGGTATTTTTGTCCCAGTGATCAATTTTTAGTCCTATTTAAGTATATAAAAGTAGTTAGTCGTATTTAAGTACAGAGCTTATGTTTAAGTCCTATTAGAGTCCTATTCCCCTTATCCCAAGTCCTTACGGAGTTGCGGCTCATGGAAATACCGAAATAGTCCGTATTAATTAATTAGTTTGATTTTTATTGGGAAATACTTCCCTTATCATTTAAGTTAAAATGTACTACCTCCGTTCCTATTATATCTTCCAAATAGGTTTGACACACAATTTAAGATAGTGAATATTGTGTGGTGGAGAGTTGTGCAAAGGAGAGATAAGAAATGTTGTGAACCGCAAATTCTTTACTCAAAACGGAAAGTGGAAGTTTTAATTGGAACCGACGAAAAAGGAAAGTTGGAAGTTTTAATAGGAACGGAGGGAGTAGTACGTAGTTCAATTGAGTTAAAATGTTGTATTCCGTATTCAGTTTTTATTTCTGAAATTGAACAATAAATAAGATGAATTCTCATTCTTCTTGTCCGTCGTCCCATAAAACTGGGTCATATTAATTGTTCTTTATCGATAATCACCAAATTTGAGTATGAAATTTATATATCGGATGTTAATTATTTAAAGTATATATTGTTATATCGGAATGTTATTTGGTGATTATGAAAGTATAAAAACTATAAACTTCTTACAATTATAAAAACTAAAATCATTGTCTAACATTTATGATCATTCATCAAGAAAAATCAATTTGATTATATTTTATGGGATCTAGGAAGTACATATGTGTTACAACAATTTTGATATACATACTACAGAAATTAAAAAAAAAACTATAAACATAAAAAATCATATATTAACACAAATTGAATTATAAAAAATATGAAAAACCTTCATTAACAGTGTATGTATATTAAAATTGTTGTAAGATATATGTACTCCAAAAGTTCCATAAAATTTGACAAAGTTGACTTTTCTTAGGCAATAATTACAAATTTTGGAAAATTATTTTAGTTTTTATAATTATTCCAACAATCGTTCTAAGCACCACTAGTCTCCGACTAGGCGCTAGGTAGTGACTTAACGCCTTTATTTAATTTTAGTATGTTCTCTTGACATCTAACTGAATTAGTAGTATGTCTCGTTGTGTGCCTAGAATGTCAAATTGGCTGCCTAGGGGGACTTTATTTGTCGATCATTCTTTTACTTTTTATTTTAATTTTCGCGTACTTAAAGAAGGTGTCACTAGTATATGGTTTAATTAAATACGAGTATTGTCTCCACATGGAAGAAAAAAAGAATTAAGTATTAATTAATTTTAGCGATTAAAATAAATAAACTAAATGCGATTGGGCGAGATGAAATTTTGGAATTAAATTGAGAAGAAAGTAAATCTACATTAGAGCGCTCTTTCGAATTAATGACAGGAAGGGAACATGGATTGAATTCGGGGGCAATCAGATTTCGGGGCTGATCAGGCTTAATCACATGGAAATTATTTAATTGGGCAACGCGGGTCAAAACTGAGTTCTTACCGCTCTCGCGGTATGTGTAGAGTACAACGATTTATAAAGTCATATTGATGATCTCTCATGCAACAAGCTACTATTTCGTTACCAAAACTACGTATGCTTCCTGGTTTTGAAATAAGATTAATAAGATGAATTCTCATTCTTGTTGTCCGTCGTCCCATAAAACTGGGTCATATTAATTGTTCTTTATCGATAATCACCAAATTTGAGTATGAAAGTTATATATCGTTATATAAAGTATATATTGTTATATCGGAATGTTATTTGGTGATTATGAAAGTATAAAAGCTATAAACTTCTTACAATTATAAAAACTAAAATCATTGTCTAACATTTATGATCAATTGATCATTCATCAAGAAAAATCAATTTGATTATATTTTATGGGATCTAGGGAGTACATATGTGTTACAACAATTTTGATATACATACTACAGAAATTAAAAAAAACTATAAACATAAAAAATCATTTATTAACACAAATTGAATTATAAAAAATATGAAAAACCTTCATTAACAGTGTATGTAATTTCTTAAGTAAGTATATTAAAATTGTTGTAAGATATATGTACTCCAAAAGTTCCATAAAACTTGACAAAGTTGACTTTTCTTAAGCAATAATTACAAATTTTGGAAAATTATTTTAGTTTTTATAATTATTCCAACAATCGTTCTAAGCACCACTAGTCTCCGACTAGGCGCTAGGTAGTGACTTAACGCCTTTATTTAATTTTAGTATGTTCTCTTGACATCTAACTGAATTAGTAGTATGTCTCGTTGCGTGCCTAGAATGTCAAATTGGCCGCCTAGGGGGACTTTATTTGTCGATCATTTTTTTTACTTTTTATTTTAATTTTCGCGTACTTAAAGAAGGTGTCAATAGTATATGGTTTAATTAAATACGAGTATTGTCTCCACATGGACGAAAAAAGGAATTAAGTATTAATTAATTTTAGCGATTAAAATAAATAAACTAAATGCGATTGGGCGAGATGAAATTTTGGAATTAAATTGAGAAGAAAGTAAATCTACATTAGAACGCTCTTTCGAATTAATGACAGGAAGGGAACATGGATTGAATTCGGGGGCAATCAGATTTCGGGGCTGATCAGGTTTAATCACATGGAAATTATTTAATTGGGTAACGCGGGTCAAAACTGAGTTCTTACCGCTCTCGCGGTATGTGTAGAGTACAACGATTTATAAAGTCATATTGATGATCTCTCATGCAACATGCTACTATTTCGTTACCAAAACCAGGAAGCGTACGACTCTCTAACCGTGTTAATCTCTTAGCGAGTGGCAAGGTGTGCGTGAAAGTGCCCTAAAATAATTTAGATCTTTCTTAAATTATTTTATGTGCAAAAGTTATCCGCGCATGCACAAAACTGTGCAAAAATTAATTTAGATTCCATGTTAAATAATAATCATGCAATTAATCCATCAAGAATAAAACTCTAGATCACGATTTACGTCCATTCATCAATCTTAATCCCTAGTTAAATCTACTCACAATTCATTATTGAATTAACAATAAAATTGAGAACGTAAGAATTAATTGTCATTAATTAAAAGAGAGAAAAAACTCAGAAAAAATGGAGTTTACATGTTGTTTAAATAGAAAACGGTAAAAATATATATGTTTGTATATATTCTTGAATTTTATTATTAATATCTACAGAGTATTACATAATGAAGTCGATTAAATGTGACAATTTTGTTATTCATGCATGTTATTGTGTGTGTACACATAGTCAGACACAATTTAAACGCAATAATACTTATCATTTTTATGAAAAAATATTAATAAAAATATCATTCATATGTATCCGATTAGTCCCCGCCGAGGCGCTAGTTGCTGGACGGGCACCCGATTACCGCCTAGTGCATGATAGGATATTGGTTGTTATCTTTGTGCGATTTAAAAAACTTTTATACTTTTCTTAATATGAGCCGCTGAAATAAGCTACGCGCTCAATAAAGAGAAATTTTTTGCGACAATAGTAAGGCCGGAAGCAGTAAAATCTGTTTTTTAAAGAGACCAATATGGCTCCCTGATGAAGTCATATGAGTTATTGTTGTATCATCGTCACCGCTCTTTTTATTGTGGTATCATATGGTTGTGATAATATAGTTTTTAACTGATATATATTTATATATTGCAGAAAAGCATATAATGTTAAAGCCCCACACCTACCATCCTTTGGATCCTTTATCTGGCGCCGAGATCTCAGTAGCCGTTGCAACTGTTAGAGGTGCGGGTGACACCCCCGAGGTATAATAACGTGATACCCACAGACGTAGTACGTATGTATTTTATTCAAACTCGTTAGATTTTACCAAGGAATTTTGACCTAAATATCACCAAAAAAGTGTTTTTTTTAAAAAAAATTCCAAAAATGTGACTAATAAGTAGTATACTTACTAATTTACTCCCAATGACATGACACACTACAGTGACACGAACACAGTGACATGATGACACGGACATAGTGACATCCACACCAAACGATTATACTACGGATTTTTCAGAAAATGCCACCAAACTAGGTTGCATCCTTGACTTCTGAAACGTGCGGAGGTTATTCCCATGTTTTTTCTTTTGCCGATCGTCTTCTTCGTGGAATTTGTCGCCGACATCTTCCGTTTCCTTCATCACCACTTCGTTGATCGGAAATGCACGCCGCTCAAATCGCACAACATCGATAGATCTAACCTCTGGAATTTTGGCGTCCTCGTCGCATGTATAACCATCGTCACCATCGCTTGTCGGTCGTGCAATGCCGCCATCGCTTGCCTGTCTTCCAGCACCATCGCTTGTCGCAGGACTAAAAAATGACAGATCGATTTTATATACTATCCTCCGTTCTGTTTTAATCGCATCATGTTGAATTTTACACTATTCACATGCTCTACTTTGACTACATTTTACGCTATTATTTTATGAAAATTATTACTCCCTCCGTTCCTAAATAAACTTCCAACTTTCCTTTTTCGTCCGTTCCAATTAAAATTTCCACTTTCCCATTTTGGTAAACAATTTGTGGTTGACAACATTTCTTACACATTTCTCTCTCCTCTGCACAACTCTCCGCCACACAATACCCACTATCTTAAATTATGTGCCCAACCCACTTGGAAGTTTTAATAGGAACGGAGGGAGTATTTTTTAAATATTGTTCAATCCATCTTATTACAAATTTTCAAAATCTGATTATAATATTTTTTTTACTAATAGAATTAAGATATAATTACGTTCAGAGACGTGCGTTGGCAAATATGAAATGTTGACTGTTGCAACTAAGAAAGAACGGAGGGAGTATATAATAAATCTATTACATCTACATATCATAAAAATGAACTTTATGTTAAACCCCAATGAGTATAATACTTAAAATGAACGAAGATACATAAATGAGCTTTTAAATGTTACGATACTTATTTTGTAAGTTATGAATGCTCATTTGGTATGAGTGTTATGTAATATTATTCTTTCAATTAATCATTTTCTTTGTGCATGATAAAAAATAACACTATAGCAACAAAAGCATTAATAATCATACTCCCTCCGTCCCATAATTAACTTCAGTTTTGACTGGGCACGATGATTAAGATAGTGTGATTTGTGTGGTGGAGAGTTGTGCGGATGAGAGAGAAATGTGTAAGAATAATTGTGAACCACATATTCTTTATCAAAAAAGGAAAGAGAAGATAAATTTGGGATGGACCGAAAAGGAAAGAATGAAGATAATTTCGGGACGGAGGGAGTATTAAATTTGAAGAAAGTAGTTGTACTTTAATTTTACAATGAACAATAATAATTCCATTGGGAAAAGGGTCAAATAAGCCCTCGAACTAACCGAAAAAGTGCAAATCACCCCTTTTATAGGAGGCTCTGTCCGGCCGTCGCCATTTGAGGCGGTTCCCGGTGGAATTTTTTGATAATTTTTTTAACATCAACTTCATTAAGTCTAGTTCGAGGGCTTATAAAGAGTGGCAGATATTGATTAAGTTGTTATAGTTTATTTAAAATCATAATGCTAATTTTTTTTAGCTATTAACAAACGCGTATAAATGTACTGCATCAAAATATGAGGAACATTGTGAAAATGTCAAAAATGACAATTTCAGTACCAAGTTAAAAATGGGGTACCGTACCTACCATTCACTTGATTGATCTAAATCATTATATCATTTTTAATTTATATTTAAATAATTGAATTGCAACATTGTGATTGGTTGATGTGGACGAAATTATATGGATACCATAGAGAAAGTAATTATATGAGAAAGTGAATGGAATGATGAAATTAATTAATGTGATGTTTGAGAAAGATGGAATGTGTCCAAGGTAAGGCCGGGAATAAAGAGCGGGTATGTACATCATATATCAGAGCATCTCCAATGATACAATGTGTACGGTGAACATGTGAAATGAGAGATAAAAACAAAAGACTGATCTTATGACATTTCTCTCTATGTCTTTTCACGGTATTGTGTTTGTGTGTTTTTGGTAAGTGTTACTCTGCAATATCAACCACAATGTCTACATCTAGACATTATGTTTGACATTGTGGAAAAAAAACTTACCAAAATGATATAAGGTCCTTTATATAAGGAGAGAGATATGTTAATTATTGTTTTTTGATTGGTTATGTCTCGTGACACGTATGACCGTTAACGTGTTAGCACTGGAGAAGAGGAATGCGATTGTGATTGCTTTTGCTTGGCTATGTCTCTTGTTTGCTTTTGTGCGTAATGTAATGAGGGAATTGGGACGCAGGTAAGGGATGGAATGCGATTTATTGAGGTGGTGCTAGTGGAGCCAGAGAAGAGGATAGTGGCATTAGCAGATGCATATTTCTTCCCGCCCTTCCAATCATCGTTGTTGCCAAAAACAAGGGGAGGGCCTCCCATCCCGACAAAGCTCCCGCCGCGCCGAGCTCGGCTCATCGTGTACAACAAGAACACCAACGAGACGAGCATATGGGTGGTGGAGCTGGCTGAAGTGCACGCGGCAGTCCGTGGCGGACATCACAAGGGAAAGGTCCTCTCATCCATTGTGGTTCCGGATGTTCAACCGCCCATAGTATGCATCCATCACTACTATTACTAAATTAGCTTTATATATATATATATAAATTATAATGGATATGGCTTTATTATTATATATATATACATATAATGGATGCAGGATGCTGAGGAGTACGCTGATTGTGAAGCTGTGGTGAAAAGTTATGGTCCCTTTATAGAGGCAATGAAGAGAAGGGGCATTGATGACATGGATGTTGTGATGGTGGATCCGTGGTGCGTGGGTTATCACAGCGAGGCAGACTCTCCGAGGCGGAGGCTTGCAAAGCCGCTCATCTTCTGCCGAACGCCCGACAGCATTTGCCCGATGGAGAACGGGTATGCGAGGCCGGTGGAGGGCATATACGTGCTGGTGGATGTGCAGAATATGGTGGTGATCGAGTTTGAAGACCGGCGCCTCGTCCCTCTGCCGCCCTCCGACCCCTTGAGGAATTACACCCCGGCTCAAACTCGAGGAGGAGTTGACCGAAGCGATATTAAACCCCTGCACATCACTCAGCCAGAGGGCCCGAGCTTTCGCATCCACGGAACCTATGTTGAATGGCAGAAGTGGAACTTCAGGATTGGGTTCACGCCGAGAGAAGGACTGGTGATACATTCGGTGGCATATCAGGACGGGAGCAGAGGCAGAAGGCCCATCGCGCACAGGCTGAGCTTTGTGGAAATGGTGGTGCCGTATGGGGACCCCAACGACCCCCACTACAGGAAGAACGCGTTCGATGCCGGGGAGGACGGGCTGGGGAAGAACGCCAATTCCCTCAAGAGGGGGTGCGATTGTTTGGGCTGCATCGCCTACTTCGACGCCCACTTCACCAATTTCACGGGTGGGGTGGAGACGGTCGAGAACTGCGTGTGCTTGCACGAGGAGGACCACGGCATACTGTGGAAGCACCAAGACTGGCGCAGCGGGCTGGCGGAAGTCCGCCGCTCGAGGCGCCTCACCGCCTCTTTCGTCTGCACCGTGGCCAACTACGAGTATGCCTTCTACTGGCATTTCTACCAGGACGGCAAAATTGAGGCCCAGGTGAAGCTGACGGGGATTCTGAGCCTTGGGGCCTTACAGCCCGGGGAGTCCCGCAAGTACGGCACCATCATTGCTCCCGGCTTATACGCCCCGCTTCACCAGCACTTTTTCGTGGCGCGAATGAACATGTCTGTGGATTGCAAACCCGCGGAGGCGCACAACCAGGTGGTTGAAATGAATGTGAGGGTGGAAGAAGCCGGGGACGACAATGTCCACAACAACGCCTTCTATCCGGAGGAAACTCTGCTGCGCTCCGAGCTGCAAGCCATGCGCGACGTTGACCCCTTCTCTGCCCGCCATTGGATCGTCAGGAACACCAGATCATTGAACAGGACCGGAGAGGCCACCGGATACAAGCTCGTTCCAGGCCTCAATTGCCTCCCGATGGCGGGTCCCGAGGCCAAGTTCCTGCGCAGAGCCGCATTCCTCAAGCACAACCTCTGGGTAACTCAGTACGCCCCGGGAGAAGACTTCCCCGGGGGAGAGTTCCCCAATCAAAACCCGCGTGTGGGCGAGGGCTTGGCGTCGTGGGTTAAGCAAGACCGCAATCTCGAAGAAACTGATATTGTGCTCTGGTATGTTTTTGGAATCACCCATGTTCCCCGCCTCGAAGATTGGCCTGTCATGCCCGTTGAGCACCTCGGTTTTATGCTTCAGGTACGTACGTACCCACCTATATACATGACTAAAGTAAATAATCTACACCTCGCTTCCTATTTCTTTACATTTCTTTCATTCAAAATACTTAACTACATACTCTGTTTTATTCTAAATTTCCTTTTCTCACATATATGTTTCAATATTATCTTCTCTTTCATAAAAACGTGACAGTCCTATTTTGAAATTTTCAAACTTTTGCATTCCTATTACACTATAATACAAGTATCATTTACCCTTGCATACCGAAAGTGTGTGTTATTCAAATTAGGAAGTTCTGTAAGGGACAGAAATAATATTATTTTTATTAGATATAAAAATTATTGTTTTAAAAGAACGTATTCTCAGCTAAAAGTATGTAGTTATTAATTACTGGAACGATATTATTTTTTGTTTTATATATGAATGTGAATGGATGATAGTGATGAAGATTGAAGATGTAAACTACAATTCCTTGATTTACAAAACAAAAGCTTTAACAAATTTACATATAATCCAGATATTATTGCATGCAAAGCCTAGCTAATTTCACAAGTCACATACATGTCTTGCTTGCAGCCACACGGATTCTTCAACTGTTCCCCCGCAGTGGATATTCCTCCGCCGCAAGTATGCAACTCAGAAACAAGGGAGACATATCACGCGGACAGGGCTTCATCCCACTCCTTCATTGCTAAACTCTGATTTTGTTGTTTCCGAAATCAATCTAAATTACCTCGCCCAAAGGCTCTGGTACACGGCAAACTTGTATTTTTATTGTTTCCCACGTACTAGCTTGGCAACAATAATTATATATTTTTCTTGTCATTTCTACGTTGAGGCACGAAATACTATTTGATCTTGTCACTGTTTCATTCAATTCATTCTTGTTTTAGACTTTGGAAACAATAACCGGAAAATCAAATCAGATCGAACCTTTGTGTAGAACACTCGTGCGATGCATGGTTGGTGAAACTTCACATAAAAATTAAACTTATAATTTTAATTGAATAGTAAAGTGTAACATAAGATGAAATATATTCAATACCATTTACTAATGATTACAAAGTAGTACACAAATTTGTATAGTTCCACGAAATTAATAGGAAGTAGCATGCAATATAAATGTAATTTGGAAACACATTAGATTACTTGTGAAATGTAATAAAACATTTCTTTATAAATGGATTGGATTATTGGCCAATGCTATGGCTGATTTGTTGTCAACTTTTAGCACTGGTGTTATCTTGACATCTTCCAGTATGCTTTCAAGTAACTTGGTGAGCCAGATTCCCTGGCATGCTCCACTAGTTGAAGCTATATACTCAGCTTCGCATGAAGAGAGTGCTACAATCCTTTGCTTTTGTGACACCCATGTAATAGGACTGTCTCCTAGGAAATAAATGATCCTTGTAGTACTTTTCCTATCATCCAGATCACCAGCAAGATCACTGTCACTACAGCCCAACAACTCTTCCCTTCTTTTGATTCTTTTGTACACACACCCATAGTTCAATGTCCCCTTGATATACCTCAAGATTTGTTTTACTGCATTTAAGTGTGCAGTGGTTGGTGCTTCCATGTACCTGCTAACAATGCCTACTTAGTAAGTAAGATCAGGCCGGGTATTAGTTAAGTACCTTAAACTTCCAATGATGCTTCTATAATTTGTAGAGTCCACTGTAGGTTCTCCATCAAATTTGCTCAATTTACTTCTTGGTTCCATAGGAAGACATCAGGGATTGCATTCAGCCATTCCCATTTTTTCCATGATCTTCTTAGCATAACCTGACTGACTCAGGGTTATGGAATCTTTCACTTGCCTTACTTCTATGCCTAGGTTGTAGGAGAGTAATCCCAGATCACTCATTTCAAAATTTTTCATCAATTCTTCTTTGAACTCTTGCTCCAACTTTGAGCATGATCCTGTTAGTATTAGATCATCCACATAGACTCCCACATCTGTGATGTCTTTTCCAAGCTTCTTCATATAGACAGAGTGCTCAAAAATACATCTTTTGAAACTCAAAGATTTCAAACAGCTATCCAACCTCTCATTCCAAGCACGGGGGGCTTGTTTTAATCCATATAAGGCTTTGTGAAGTTTTAATACCTTATTTGGATTTCTGGTGTCAACAAAACCTTCTAGTTGGAGTACATATACTTCTTCTTTCAGCTCTCCATTAAGAAAAGCCGTTTTTACATCCATGTGATGCACATCTCATTGTTTGTGAGCTGATATTGCTAGTAATACCCTTATAGTCTCCATTCTAGCTACTGGAGCAAAAACTTCTTGATAATCAACTCCAAACTTTTGAGTATACCCCTTTGCAACAAGTCTAGCTTTGTATTTGATAATCTTGCCATCCGGAGCCTTCTTAAGTTTAAAAATCCACTTCAGCCCTATTGCTTTATGGTTCTTTGGTAGATCTGTCAGCTCCCATGTTCCATTTCTCTGTATGGACTCAATTTCTGCAACCATAGTCTGTCTCCAATTTTGGTTGCCTGCAGCTTCTGAGTAGGATGAGGGTTCATCTATGGAGAGAAAACATAGACTTATGACGAGCACTTTGTCACGGTGCGTCAAAATAAATTCAATACTAAACACTTATACGTAGTATAGTGTAGTAGAGTTCGTATCCACAGGGAAAGGTATAATTCTCTTTCTATGAAACTAGTAATAAAAAGGGGGGTTTTGGTTTTGAGTGATTTAATTCAATTAAGAAACTAAGATGAACAACCTATATGTGTTTAATTCAAGAATAAAAGGGACTTGGCTTTGCTACTTTCCACTTGTTGATATATTTTAGTCGATCCTTGTTATATCTATAACTTATCCCCTCTCGAATACTCAATCGAGGAGTATCTCCAATTCATCGAGGGTAGTTATTAACAACGACCGTTCATTAATAACCCTTACTATTAATCAAATATAGAACAACGCCTTATACCGATATAATAGTAGCATTCAATCTTTTTAACTCCTTGATGAAATCAATTGAAATTGATAACCTTAACACAACGGTTTCGGTTTAACCAACAAAATTGATCCCTCTTAAGTCTATTAACCACGACCGTGCATTAATAAACCGAAGCTACTTACTTGTGAAACCACCAACGATTAACCATCGGTTCGTTGATCGTTTCTAGTAGTAATTAATGTCGGAACGTTAACTAATCGTCACTTAGCAACCCTCCAACATTAATATAGAATGAGATTAAGGGAAGAATTAATAATCAAGAGAAGAAGTTAAGAAAATAACTCACAACTTTAATAATCAACAAGCTTCAAGAGCAAAACCAAGAATGGAAGTTTAGCTCCTCATTTGGAGGCTAAACATAGCTAGAAAAATATAAAGAAATGCTATTCTAAACTGAGCTAAAGAGATTGGAAGAAGGGATCGATTTTAAGAGGAGAAAAAGAGTGCTATTTATAGGTGTTTTTCAACACCTTTGGCCGGGTACCCGACCGGGTATAGGTACATACCCGACCGGGTACCGGTCAAAATCAGATAATCTCCCACGTTTCATTGTTCCAGCACATTAATTTGTCCGGGTCAAGTCAGACCCGACCGAGTCAAGTGAGGGACCCGACCGGGTTTGGTCTAAATCAGATTTTTTCCAAAATCTTTGTGATCTTCAGCATGTTCTGGTGTTCCGGGTCGGGTATGGGACCCGACCGGGTCTTACTTTTTCTTCTTAGATCTGTTCCTCAACTGACCCAACCGGGTTTAAGGTCTGACCCGGTCGGGTTTTTGTGCTCCTGGGTCTTTTTGTCTTCAGTTTTTCTCCCTTTTTCCTTGCTACAAACTCTATCGCTATTCTAAAACTCCGAAAAAGAAGGAGAGAACAATTACAAATAAAATAAAACAAGTACTTACAAACTAACTAAAAATGATGGAAAATCCACACTCAATCAACATAAAAACATACGTTTATGCACTATAAACTAGTGCATATCAAACATCCCCATGACGAGCATTTTGTCACGGTGCGTCAAAATAATTTTCAATACTAACACTTATACGTAGTATAGCGTAGTAGAGTTCGTATCCACAGGGAAAGGTATAATTCTCTTTCTATGAACTTAATGAATAAAAATGGAGGTTTTGGTTTGAGAGATTTAATTTAATTAAAAACTAAGATGAACAACCTATATGTGTTTAATTCAAAGATAAAAAGGACTTGGCATTGCTACTTTCCACTTGTTGATATATTTTAGTCGATCATTGTTATATCTATAACTTATTCCCTCTCGAATACTCAATCGGGGAGTATATCCACTTCATCGAGGGTAGTTATTAACAACAACCGTTCATTAATAACTCTTACTATTAATCAAATATAGAACAACGCCTTATACCGATTTAATAGTAGCATTTAATCTTTCTAACTCCTTGATGAAATCAATTGAGATTGATAACCTCAACACAAGCGGTTTAGATTTAACCAACAAAATTGATCCCTCTTAAGTTTATTAACCACGACCGTGCATTAATAAACCGAAGTTACTTACTTGTGAAACCATCAACGATTAACCATCGGTTCGTTGATCGTTTCTAGTAGTAATTAATATATGAAACAAAACTAGTTGATCCTTTAAGTAATGTTCAAAATATTAATATGAAATAAGAGTAGGAATTAATTAATATTCAAGGAAGAATATTATTAATGAAGATGAATCCTACTATAATTAATATCAAGATGTTAACTAATTGTCATCTTAGCAACACTCCTCAACATTAATATAGAAGAAGAAAATACCATTCTAACTAATGTCGAGATGTTAACTAATTGTCATCTTAGCAACACTCCCCAACATTAATATAGAGATGATATTAAGGAAAAGAACTATTAATTAATATTCAAGGAAAGAAGTTAAGAAAATAACTCACAACTTTAATAATCAACAAGCTTCAAGAGCAACACCAAGATTGGAAGTTTAACTCCTCATTTGGAGATTAAACATAGCTAGAAAAATATAAAGAAATGCTATTCTAAACTGAGCTAAAGAGTATGGAAGAAGGGATGATGAAAAGTGAAGGAAAATGGGGTTATTTATAGGTGTTTTCAACACCTAATGCCGGATGCCCGGCCGGGTATTTTGACATACCCGACCGGGTATTTACCAAATCAAATATTTTCCCATGTTTTTGTGTCTTCTGCACGTTCTTTGGTCCGAAATCACTTCATACCCGACCGGGTATTTGCTAGTTTTGCAGCAGTTTCCTTTGTCACTTCATACCCGGTCGGGTAAAGTCCATACCCGACCGGGTTTTGCACAAAACTCAGGTTTATTCATCCTTTTTGCTTCCAAACCTATCCTAAACTTATACCCAAACTAACTACAACTTACAACAAACAATAAAATGCTAGAAATACGATTACAATCAAATGCAAACTAACAACTATAAACTTGCACAAAACTAGTAAATAAACATTACAAACAATAATAAAAATGTATACTTAGGCACTAACAACTAGTGCCTATCAAACACCCCCACACTTGAACCTTTACTCGTCTCGAGTAAATTAAAACATGTCCATGAAATTTTCAAAAACCACAAGAGTAGCAGAACAACCATCCAACATTTTTTTTATTATCTTCTTGCATAAATAGATATTTTTCTCTCATTCTCTCATTTTGCCTAGGAGCCTTTTTCAGGTTTTCATCCTAGCCTCTCTTTTTATTTTTTTTTCTCACAACTCACTCATTTTAGCCACTTATGCTTAGATTGCCCATTTTTTGGGGGTTTTCAACCTAACTAGCATTTTTTTTTCTTTTATTGTTTTTTTTTGTTTTTTTTTTGAAGAAAAATAATGCAAGTTACAATGTAAAAAAAATGAGTACATACCAAATGAGTGCCTCC